TGAACAAGATTGTCAAGTCTCCCCACTGTCACTAGAGATCTGGTATAGGAGGAAAATATGCTTTAATAGGTCAATACAGTATAGGAAAGTATGATGAGTGTTAATGAAAAAAAGATTTATGGGAGCTGATAGGAGAGGGGTTAGCTTTACTGATTTGGATGGAGAGTCAGTGCTAGGAGAGTGTACCATGTGAATAGAGTCCTGTCAGGTGACAGTGTAAGATGCACAAGGAAAGCTCAGACATAGTATGTAGATAGAACAACAAATGCAAAGTCCTGGCAGCTAGAGCCAGCATAAGGAAGATTAAAATTCTAAATTTCTAAAATTCAGTGTGTCTCTAAGAGTCCATGACTCAAAGTTCTCTTGTGGTTGCTACCATGCAAACTTCATGCATGATTCTTGTTTTGCACACACAGGAGCTGAAGGATCCTCACTGTAGGGATGAAATGGCAGCTGCCCGAGGGGCTCTGAAGAAAAATGCCACAATGCTGTACACAGCCTCCCAAGCCTTTCTCCGCCACCCAGATGTTGCTGCTACAAGAGCCAATCGTGATTATGTGTTCAAACAAGTCCAGGAGGCTATTGCTGGAATCTCCAATGCTGCCCAAGCTACCTCGCCCACCGATGAAGCTAAAGGACACACGGGCATCGGCGAGCTGGCTGCGGCCCTGAATGAGTTTGATGTAAGTGTTGGGTGATGCCCACAGAGGATGTGTGCTTACACTGAAAAATATATTGGGGGTAAAGGGACCCCCCCCAAAATATACACTGATTTCCCTCTCTTGGAGGCTTTTGATAGTAAGATAGACTACAAAATGTTTTCCTGTCTTTAGGAATCTAAAATATCAGCAGAGGCTACTGGGCTTTAAAGAAATGAACAGTTATGTTTTAGAGGGCCTGATCCCTTTCAGGTAGGAGGAACACTTTTGCAGTCATTTAGGTGATCATCCTTATTATTCAAGGAACAAAGGTCATGGACAACCTAGCTGTTGATTGCTTTTATATTGTGGCTGGGTGGAAAAACTGCCTTCAATTTCATCATTTTAAACTACTGACAGACTCACAAGTTACCCTGTGAGCCCACGCAAGGTTCTGGTCTTCCTCAGAACACATACCCTCAGGAAACCCTGTGGCAGTCCTGTGAAAGCCCACTTGGTTGCACCTGCTGCTCCCGTTGCGTGTCCCAGCAAGGGATGCAGTATGAGGGCAACTCCCTGTGCCTGGGCCATCACAGAGGCATCCCTGTGAGCAAGAAGTCATGTGCCACCAGCAGCCTAGGATGACACTTTCATCTCCCGGGCTAGATATGACCCCCTCTGTGGATTCATTGTCATCTAATCAACGGCAGCTCACCTGTGTTAAAAGAGCCACAGAGATGTATAGATAATCAGAATCTACTCTCAAAGGTACTGTTTTCTATGAGGGTAGCTGGATGTACTGAACATAATTGAAGTGATAAAACAGAATGTAGGGGAGAAAAAATAGGTTGTAAAAAATGGCTGTAGAGAGAGATTATGTGCTTGCTTTTGGGTGTGTTGACATGAATTTTTGGCAGGAAATGACTAGCTGGCCATTGAAAAAAGGATCTGAAGCAAAGCAATTATTGTTCAAGGCATGGAGATGGATAATATAATTGAGAAATAATTGCAACACTTTACAGAGAGAGTCCTTTGTAGTTTGTGTGAGATATCTGTTTTCTCTTATAGTTAATATGTATGTGTACTCAGACTATATACTATTTTTTCTAAGGCTTTTTGGAAAGATTCAATGTAATAATAAATTGAAAGCATTCATCAAAAATATTAGTATTTAGTGTTATATAATTGCATTCACATTTCAGTAGACAACTGCCAATCCATGAAAAATAATGTTTACTTTTCATAGAATAAACATAAAAAGCCACTATATAACCATAATGCAAAAAATAGAATATTGAGAAAAGATATATTATTGAAAAATAGATAATAAAAATTATTTATTATCTTTACTTTTATTTTAAATTGCTTATGTATGCTAGAAACAAGTTTGGTATAGATGTGAAAGACCTAAAAGAAAAGTATATTCCTTTACTGAAGGACAAGTTTTATTCACTAGTAAATAACATTGTAATTTAAGATAGGAAAACTATTGGCCTCATCAATTTTTTATAGCATTCAGGCAAACCAAGAAAAAAATTCTAATAGAGTTCTTTTAGAACTAAGTAAAATGATGATAATTTTTTCCCCTTTGGAAACTAAATCAAGTGAAAAATGAATAACCCCATAGTTTAAGGTAAAAAAAAAATGAGCAGGTCCTGCACTTGGATACTAAAATACTGATACATTAATTTAAAAACTATGCATTAGAACAAAAAATGACTCCTGCATCAAACAATATTAAATTACAAATCATCTTAAATGCAAAATTATTTACAAAATGATGTGTTTAAAATTAAGACTGTATGGATTATTTGGTCAAAATTTGACATAATTGCATTATTTTAATAGTGATTTATTTTTGTCATCAAATGACAAACAGTAAAACCCAAACAGTGCAAGAACAGCCTACCTACTTTCTAAATGAGGATCCATACCCTTCAGCTGCTGCCATCTACTGCCCAAAAGTATGACAACTCCAGCTTTCCATTTTCTTTGTTTCCAGACCTTTTTCATTAACACAGTGATCACCCGCAGTGAAGTTAACAATTAAAACATCGCTGTAGTATTCCCAAAGGCTTAGACTCATAAAATCAAACTCGCAGTTATCTGAGGAAAATCTGCTAACCAAGTATGTCAACATCTACTTTTTTCTATTGCAATATTGCCTCATGGTGGACAAATAAGACTTTAGAAGTTAACATATGAATACTATATAACTACCAAAGGCATATTAACTAATTCACTAGTTACATTTTATTAATTTATAGTTTATACATTAATTTTATTATTTATTGTACTAAGCATATAATAGAGTAATGAAACAATTATTTTATATTAGCTAACTATGTTTACTAAGTAATACATCATTATTAAATATAGTTTTGTCCTCAAGCTATGTAAATTACATAAAGCATTTTCTACTGTTTAAATTCTTATTTAAATTCAAAGGTTAACCAATAGTCTCAATTGCAGTTAAAGACAAAAATTCCATTTGTGGCTTCCTAATAATTTCACTAGTAAATACAATTTAGGTTCAGTACTTCTCCAAAATTAAATATTATTGAATTTTTAAAATACAAGATATTTAGCAAGTTGTACATATTCTAACATGTTTTACATCAATAAAACCTAGATTCCATAATATTTGAAAATTTCTTGTTAAAAATAATATAGTTCTTCTTACTTTGTGGCAGAATTATAAGTTTATTTCCTTTAGTTGAATGATGAATATTTGAGCATTTTTGTCTCTCAGAAATACTAACTGGAAATTACTTCAGAATTCATAGGCATCTATCTTACATTTTCAATTCTGTTTTCAAACCATTCATCAGCCCTTAGCTACAGTAACAAAATTCCTGATATAATCAACATAGAAAGTGGAAAGGTTTATTTTGGCTGACAATTTGGAAGTTTCAGTCTATGTCCAGTTGGTCCTGTTGCTTTTGCACCTGTGTCAAGAAAGTACATCACTATAGGAGCACGTGGTAGCACGGCTCATCACTGCATGGTGATCAGGAAGTGAAAAAGGGAGAGAGAGGAGAGGCCAGCGGTTCTATATGAACAGAAGACCTGCAGCTGGGCCCCACATTTGCAGATCCACTACTTCCCAGTCATGTCACAGACTGAAAATCAAGCCTTTAACACATGGGTCTTGGGGAATACTTAATCAAAACATAGTGCAGATACTAAAACAGATTCATACTTCCTGTGACTAACTTTGCTGGATGATATTCTCACTGATACTTGACTTAGTGGCTTCTGAATGTAGTGACAAAAAGGTAAAATGTCTTTGAAATGCTGAAGTAAAAGGAACAATAGAAACACGAAATGTATTTTCAAACTCAGTAGAGCTAGGATGCTCTAAAATTGAATTTGAAATACACTTTATATTAAGAACTATGACTGTGGGCTGGAGGATTTAGCTCAGTGGTTCCACTGCCTGCCTCTCAAGCTAAGGACCCAAGTTCGATCCCTGGTACCAAAAAAAAAAAAAAAAAAGAGCTATGACTGTGTCAGACTTAGTTTTATTGGAGGTTGGGTATGGATAAAATTTTAGTTGATGAGAGTAAGATAAAAGTAGTGTTTTGTTATAGTCATTTGTCTAAACTATAAGATGGAGTTCTAACGGTGTAGTTATAATTGTGCTCAATGCTTGGTGACCTACTTTCTGGCACTATTATCCTACCTACATGAATAATCGATGTAGTGATTAATGAATCAAAAGAATGAGGGGTAGACCCAGTATTTTAACCATTTGAAACTGTCAAGAGAGTCTCTAATAATATTATAGCAAAAAGTAAAATGACTGCAAATCAATGGAAAAGTAATCCTCTGTTCAAAATGTGGCAACTCAAGGTGGTTAAGTTTTACCTAGTGAAGCTATGTACTAAGGAATGCTGCAGAGATTATTAAAAAAGAAAAGTAATGACTTCTCAGAAATAAATCCTATTATAGTGTCAATTTTGACTGCCAGAAAACCCAAGAGTAGGAGAGAAGGATATTAAAGCTATTCCTACAGAATTTTCTTTTATTCAAGAAAAGAGAATGTCTTGTATCTTTCATAGCTAGATGATGATGCTTCAGAAAAATTAAAGTTCACACCAGTCATGACCCTATCTTTATAAACTGTAACAATAAAAACAGAAGTTGACATTATTCATGAAGCTATCTTTGTGATTGTAAACTATTTTCCTTTTAAAAATATTGTTTTTTTCAAATCTTACAATAAGCAGTGTCTCTGATACATCTAACACTGAACTTTACACCTGTGGCTTTGCTTTCTAATTCTTCCACTTGCCTTGAGAATTTGTTTTTTGGAAACTGTCTTCTTCTTTTCTTGTTCCATCAGATTTGTTCTGTACCTACAGAAAAATGTAGGTTCTGTCATAGAACCTAAAATAAAGGCAAGTGTAAGTTATTTTCTTTTCCATATTTTCATGTTTTCTTCCTCTGACAGAGTTCTTTAAGCTGCAGATTCTAGACTTGGCATCCATTTCTTGGAAGCACACAGCCTCAGCCTCTGACCTCTGCTCTTGATCCCCACTGCACATGACTCTGCCTAGTGGTATCTAGGAACCCCTTACACTCACAAAATCTTTAGGTTTTTATTTTCTAGATTTAAATGCTTTGACTTTAGGAAAGGGGATATGATGGTTTCCATGATTCTTCTTACTTTGATTTACTACTCATGTCACTTAAGCCTTAAATATCTTTAGTGGAGAAGTAAGACAGTCTGTTATCAGTCACCATAGAACTGAAATGTCACCTTGACATCCACATAAGTTGTCTTTCCTGCTTCTAATTTTTTATACACACCTCCACCTTCTTAGATATTTCTTCCTTTTTACTTCTTGTCCTTACTTTTTTTTTTTTTTTACTACTTGGTTGAATTTTACAGATCTGGTGTTCAGTAGATGGAGTTTCTGAGATGTGAGAATAAATATTTACATCACAGAGCAGTGGGAACAAAAAGAACACTCACTGGAAAGACTCATGAGCCTAAGTTAACTGCTGTAATGGAAAAATTGTCCCGTAGGAAGTGGCAC